GATGAAAAATTGAGTTTTACTAGTCATATCAGTGATCTATGCTCTAAGGCCAGTCAAAAAGTAGGGGTCCTAGTGCGGCTACGCAATTTGATACCCTGTAATGCTAAACTATCACTTTACAGGTCTTCAATTCTGCCCCATCTAACCTACTGTCATTTAGTATGGCACTTTTGTAATGCATCGGATCGGAGAAAGCTTGAGCGGATTCAGGAGCGAGCACTTAGGGCGGTGTACAAAACTAGATCAGCGTCCTATCAAGAACTGCTAAGTCGCGCCAAACTACCGACGTTGAACAATCGGCGCCTACAAGACATTGCCACTTTGATGTTTAAAGTTAAGCACAGTCTCGTACCTGAGAATATTTCTGACTTATTTAATATAAAGAACACTCAATATAATTTACGGAACAGTGACTTTGAACTGCCAAGATTCGAAACTGTAAGATTTGGTAGGAATTCTATTAAATATATGGGACCTCTCATCTGGTCGAAGTTACCAAGACACCTAAGAACGATAGAAACTCTAAATTCGTTCAAGAAGAACATAAGAAAAGTCGACCTTTCAACTCTCGTTGAAATTTAAAACTTAACTAAATAACTTTATAATCTTTTTAATTATCTACTGTAAATAACTATCATCTACATATGTATATGTATATGACTTTTAAATTTTTTGGTGTCCCCCATTAGCTTATAGCTAAAAACATAGACACTTAAGTAAAGTTTTTCATTTTTTCATTCATTCAAGTCTGTTAAGCTAACACTCTGCTGAATCGAACAAGAAACTTGAGATCGACGAGAATGAAGGGAACAGCCACACAAATATTTTTTAGCGAAATTTCCTTGAATTAACCTCTACAATAATGTTCAAGTCTGGTTCAATCACACTACCTGAGTGTTGTTAACTTGCAAATGGTGTTACTGGTAGGTATGAATAGATTGTGCTAGTAAATTCAGCAAAAGTTGCTCGACAATATACCCAAAAGTTGCTCTAAAGTTGCTCAAAAATTTAAAAATTGCCTTCCAAATTTTTGCTGACTTTTGAGAGTCATTTTGATCTAGATTACTACTCAAACCAGACGTCTTATGTGTAATTTAACATC